AGCACATAAACAATTTACAGTAACTGGGTCAAATAAGAAGCCCCAGTTCTTGACCTTTATAACAAGGAAGACCGACATAACATCTTCAACCACAGTAAGGAACGGCTTTACATTAATGCATGGCAAGGTATTCCTGAAGCAAATCTGAGCGTTCTGATTAATTATTACTTGGTCTGATTTTGCCATACAGGCTGTTTCCATTAAAACGGTCTCACGTCATTCCTTTTGTCCGCAGAAGCCGGCAAATTCAAACTAAATAAGTTTGGTCCAAAGTGCTATTAACTAAATCACTTACTAACTTTGCTTGTTTGAATGTAGGGGGGAAATAATTTTGGCCCACATACGATTTGTTCGTACCTAACTGCGCTCGGTTCGTACCGTCACGACCTCGGGCCAATATTCTCCAGTACGGCCTTTTTGTTTGAATATTAAGAAGGAACGTGAACGGTAACAGTGACCCTGATTGGGTCCTGATTAGCAGCCCCATTGGAGTCCCAAAAAGACATAGAAAGTGCCTGCCTGCGCAATAAGACAATATGCGTAATTTATGTGTTGTGTTATAGACTACTGGATTCATATTATCTTTGAAAAAAGTTAACTATTACGTTTTTATCATCGCTAAACACAACTTAACTATTCCCCTTCAGTATTTAAAGCTGTTTTTACAAATCTCAATGCCACTGGAAGATATGGTCCAACAACGCTGGGCAGTCACTACACAGGTCAGGATCATGACGGACAAGTTACAGTATCCAACGGTACTCAGCGGTGGACTGTGCCGTACACTGGTGACTACAGAATACAAGCAATAGGAGCAGCAGGAGGATACGATTCAACAGCTAACAGCTCTCAGTATCGTGGAAGAGGAGCAAAAATAACTGGAACATTCCGCTTAAACAAGGGTGAAGTCATCCTGATACTTGTTGGTCAAGAGGGAACAGTAAACATAGCGGGTCCGTCATCTGGAGGCGGTGGAGGTACATTTGTAGTGAGAGGAGCCAACACTTCTTTAATAATAGCTGGAGGCGGAGGAGGCGTACAGCAGGCGGTTTCAAAACATGCAGGATGCGACGCCAGCACAGAAACAACTGGGAATCCTGGGTACAATTCATGGTCAGGGGGGAGTGATGGGCATGGTGCCCAGGCCTCTGATAGACATGGCCGGGGTAAGTTCTTTAATCAGTTATAGTGAGAAAAAAAAGAGAGAATTGATACAATATTTATCGGCTGACCTCGTGACCAAAGTCTTTGCTTGAAAATGCTGACCAGCCGGCAAAAACTAATATTTATGACAATCGCTCCCTAAGTATCTCAATCAAAAATATATATTTTTTTTACTTATTTTGTAATTATCATTATTATCTTTCAGGTGGTGGTGGTGGCGGGTTTTACTCCAATGGAAAAAGTGGAAGAAACTTTGGTGGAGGCGGTGGAAATGGCGGAGAGGGTGGTAGGGGATTTCTTCAGGGAGGGGAGGGTGGGAGAGCTTGGAAAAATGGTATCGATGGTGGGTTTGGTGGAGGCGGTGGAGCTGCTGGATGGAGAGGTGGAGGAGCAGGGGGAGGAGGGGGAGGAGGGGGATACTCTGGGGGAGGCGTTGGAGACAATGCTGGTGATACCTGTGGGGGTGGGGGAGGCTCCTACAATGTTGGAATTAATCGGCAAGATGAATGTTGCTATAACACAGCTGGTCACGGCCAGGTGACCATTTCATCATTATAGAACAGATACAGTTCACTTCACTAAACTAAGAGAAATTGAAGAAATGAGTAGATGGAGAACAGAAAATCATAATCCTTCGCAGCTCCTCTTCGGAATATCTAGCGGTGTTCCCTTCCATCCCAGTGAGAAAAAAAAAAGGACGGCTTTGAAGGGGAACGTGACATCCCGGAGAACAACTGCAAAGAACACAAGACCGCCATTATATTGCTGTCTGTCAGCTTTATGTACATCACGAGGCTCGAGGACCAGTGGTCTCCCTCTGTAGACTTTTATTTTCTCTTTATCAAAAATATCAGCAGCAGTAGAAAAATTAAACCCTGGGAAGAAGTTGCATAATGTAGCAATGATTGCATTCTTTCGCGCGACTTTTTGCGATAAAGATTTGCATAAGCACTTGTTAAGGGCAAGCTGTTCGCCATAAGGACATTGTGTGTGGAAATTTTTTTACAAATATGTATTTAGTAGCTATAGTTGTGACATACAGCTGGTGGTAAATTTTTTTTCTTTCAATTGAAACGGAATTAAATTAACGGTAAAATGGTCAAAATTTAACCGCTAGGCGTATTCACCATGTTGAGACATTCGCACAGCACGATTTTGTTACAGTTTAGTTGCTAAAGAGCTGTTTGTTTGACCTATGACCTTCTTTACAAATTTTTCAGTTGGATTCTCAAATGCTTTAGCCACCACTTATCAGAAACAGTGCGGATTCGCCTAGTCTATAAATATTTGGAAACAGAGCTAATTTCTCCTGAAGAAGATCTTGAAAAGGAGGTCAAGTATGAAGAGAGTATCATGGATTAGCTTTAATGCCGATCTACAAAGTACACAGCGGTCACAAGTTTGCGCATGTGCCAACGTTTCCATGAATAAGAGCCGTGCTTTCAGGCGGTCAGAACGATGTTGTCTCACGCGATTTAAAAACAACCACACAACTAGTAAGTCGCAGTGTTGAAAAGCAAGTAACATTTTTGACAAAACTCAAATAAAATGGTAAATCGATAGGGTACTTCCCCTCGCGGAAATGTCTTGTTCAAAAAGTCTCGAGTTTTCCTTCTCCTTGCTTTTATTTCCTTCGAAAGATTTCTATGAACGTTTCAGTTGACTTTTATCTATTTTTTTACATCGCAGTTTAACGCGGGAAATTGGCGCTCATACGACCAGAATTGATCCCCTCGCGCATGCCCAACCTTGGACTGCTGGGTTTTTTGTAGCGTGACATTACTTACATTCATTGGATTAAGTACATGCATTTTTATATCCTTTAACCGAAGGTTTTTTAAAATTTAAGTACATCTGTAACTACATTCTTGTGTGACCAGTTTCTCACTGATAGACTGATTGCGAGATCATTCATTAACAACTGCGCCGCCGGCCAGAATTAGTTGTCTCGTGCCCGATGCGTTTTTTTGTTGCGTGACATTATCTGCATTCATTAATGAAATAAAAAACGCGCCGAGTGCATTGTTGAGTTATAATAGCACGCGGGAATTTTTAAGAACATGAGAGAAGTGTCGAGAAGCACTGGTCGAAGGAGAGTGCTTCTAGCACTTCTCGAGTGTTCTTAATAATTCCCAAGTGCTTATATAAGTCAACAACGCTCGAGGAACAAGTTTTTTTATTTCTGTTATCAAATGTATTGTGAATTGCGCGGGCTCGTACCGATGACGTAAGCTGCGTGTATTATATCTCAACAGTACACTCGTGTGACGTAAGGCGCGTGCTTTATAGAAATACAATGAGCTCGCAATGACCAATCACAGCGCGCGCATTTCTCTGAAAATTTTATAATTTTATCTATTGAGTTTTCTGTATTATCATCCCCTTTTAACCGAAGATATTTTGATTAAGAATATCTGTGAATACATTCAAGTGCAACCAGTTTCTCCAATATATCTAACGAGAGCTTGAAATAGAAGAAAACCGTCGTCAGGTGAAATCAGAATTCCGGAGGAGTGGCAACGTCTTCAGCGCTAACACTCAACAAGAACACCACCACTCTTTGCGAGGGAGTAGAAACGCGAGACTTCTCGCTTGTCTCTGAAGCAAAAAAATTTTAGAAGTCGCTTATCAGTCTCTTTGAGTAAAATGTACAGGTAATTAGTATGACTGTAGTTGTAACTAATTCGATTACGTAATAGAGCAAAATTTTCAAATGAGTGTCGGAAAAATCTGAGACTGCTTTGGTCTTGTTTCATTTCATGATGTAATTGGTCCAGAAAACACGCACCACTTTCTCAACCAATCAGATTTAGAACTAAAACCAACCTCGACTTGGTCGCCCGCGTTTTCCCGCGCTTCTTACAGTTTGATTGTTTTAATTTCGAGTTCTCATTGGCTCCCTATGATATTTTGCTTGCTATGAGTGGCTGGTGTGAAAAAGCGCTTTGTTTCTTATTGCCATGTCTTAGGTGATACAGGAAACTTAGTTCAAAGTTATCAGTAAAAAAAGTTCTCCCGTGTAACACTTGTTAATGTCTTGACTGTGTGGGTAGCCAGGTTGCAATTAAATTTAGATTATTCCTAATGTCCTCAACTTCGATGAATATAAATAATGGCGATAAGTTTCTAAAGAAACTTTGATGCTGCGTCGGTGGGTGGTGTTGCGTAATAATTTGGTTTTCAAAATTACTCAGTTTATGTTGGAAATTGGTAAAGGGCCGATATATTTTATCTCATCAGATGATAAAACCAATTTATGTTGGATGAAAATGAATTGCGGGCCAATAACTTGATGATTTTCAAGTTTCAAGTGAATACAAACAAATGAGTAAGAAGGAAAAAGAAAAGAATTAAACAGGAAGACGATTAAAAAAAAAACAAACAAACGAGACAAAACAAAGCATAAAAACAAAACCAAAAACAGAAACAAAACAAAATAAAACAAAACAACAACGCTAATTTAAATTGACAGATTCCAGTGAGGGGACTCCCTTGAATCTGTCATTACAAAATGAGGGAATTCCCTTGAGTAATTTAGAGCAAAAAATGTAGCCGGTCCATCTCTCCCATACCACCCGTCTGAGGAAAAGGTTGGAAGAATTAACGGATATAATCGACTATTTTGGGTTCTGGACTGTCTGAGAATAATCTCTTGGTTTCACCTGTTGCTGGCAGGAATAGGAGGGGGAGAGTTCAAGGGGCTCTAAATAGTTGTTATTTACAAATGGAGTATAAGCAGGCTGAGTAGCTTGAGTAGGCATTATGAGACGCTCAAATATCTGACCCTACCCCTCATAAATTAACAAGGTCAGCGGTTGATTTGGGCAAACATCGGAGTACATGACATACATACAGAGAGTACTGTTTCTACGCTTCGATCTCGAAGTCTTGATCGATCGATTAAAATGCCCCTCACAATTAAGATAAAACTCCTCCGTGCTTTGTCTGTGATCCAATGCTGGTTATCTTTGTGGTTGATAGTGCTCGGAATCGTGGAAATTGTGCGAGTAAAATGGAGATTCAGTGGGCTTGGAATGCCCATTTGGACTGGAGTGTTGGTATGCAAACAAATTCGTTTTTTATTGCCTGGCTCACGATATCTTGGCGAATTGTCCTCAAAAGAAACGTTGTGAGGTTTTTCCTGTAATCAAATATTTGAGTTTGTGTTTATTTGATTCCATATAGTATGTTATTGAAGCATAAATTAGATTCCTTTTATATCTTGGAACCTTCCTGAAAGAAAGCGAGATACGATCGATCGATTAAAGATATTTTGACAGGACTACTCGGGGGTGTATAGATATGGGAGATCGTGGAAGAAATACATTTAGATGAACAGTATGTATCCTGGATGAGATTATTATATTTAAACCCAAGTTTCTTTCATAAGAGACCTTAACTTTGATGACAGACGACACATAGATTTTAGATATGTTTCTGTGGGTAATTTGGACTTCATGGACGCCAAAATTCACTGAATGTGATCATAGTTTGTCCCTTCTTTAGTGAAATGAGCTTTAATCACCCCCATTGCCTCTCAGTGTAGTGTATGGATAATTCAATGGGATCATAGATCCAATAATGCAACATGGATTTTGAATGTACATGTATTTGTCACATAACCAACCACCCCTGTGTGGGGTAAGTGGGGTAGCTATGGTGGTGCTTGTACAGGATAAGGTATCCAAGGTGATTCCTCTGAAAAAAAAGGTTTTTGACCGTTTTTTTTTTAACTTTCCTTACATTTTCTGTTTTAAAAGATTAAATAAAAAAGATAGGTCACTCACCTGCTTGTTTAACCCTGTAACTCCCATGATCTCATTTGTAATTCTCCTTACTGTCTGCCATACAGTTCTTGATGTTCGTTTGGAGAATTTGGTATGGAATCAGCTTATAATCCCCTAACTGATATTTTTCTTTATTCTTGTCACTTGTGTGCTTGATATTGTATTGATATTGTAAGGAGAAATTCTGTCTTGGTCACTCAGGAGTTGAAGGATTAAGAGACAATAATTATGATGCTGGCCTAACTTGTACTGCATTAATCCCATGCATTATTTCATTGATTCATAGTACATTTTGCTGTAGCTAGAGGCTAGGGATTTAAAAGTAACACTTAAGAAAAAAAAAACTTGATGGGTAGAAAGTCTTAAGTGTGCAGAAAAAGGATTAAAAATTGAAAATGTTTTTGTTTCCTACTGATTTTCTGTTTTTGCACAGGGAAAAAAACTGCTACAATGTGATAATTAGTTCCTAACAGTTTATTTCTAATCATCTGCCATAATTTTGAGCAGTTCAATTTTACAGTTTTTGGACAAGATTCAAATTTCTGAATTCTGCACCTCCTATGTTTTCATCTGCAGGTTGCTCTTACTGGTTCATTTGGTGTTTTGATAACTTTTAAATTTCTGCAAAAGTCACAGGGAGTGGTAACTATTCCTCAATATTTAGTAAGTTTAAACTTGATTGTTCATTTTGAACCTGATTTTTGCTATTTAATGTGGTTTGACTATACATGTAAGTGTAGAATTCTTCAAAGTCTATTTAGACTGCAAACAAGTCTTAAACATTCAATTGGTATTTCATGTTTGCCAGGTACAGTGGTTACAGTTTTGTACGTAGACATTCTTTTACTTTTAGTAAGAGTAAACCTATGTTGTACCTGATCATTTTTTACTTGATGTACATGTATTCCATATATTGTGGTTGCCATGAAGTAAACCTATCTTGTAGCTGATCATTTTTTACTCGATGTACATGTATTCCATATATTGTGGTTGCCATGATGTAAACCTATCTTGTACCTGATCATCTTTTACTTGATGTACATGTATTCGATATATTGTGGTTGCCAATGGACCTCCTCTACATTTTAGTAGTACATGTAAGGTTCATTTTATTCTTTGCTCATGCCATTTATAATGGTAATAGGACTGAGTGAAGGCCAGTTCGGTCTATAATTATACAAGTGGTTACAAAATCGGATTACTGCACAATGGGAGTCCAATTTGTTAATCACAAGTATGATTACAGACAAAATTGGGTGACACAAAGTCCTGTTACCAATCAATCAAAACTATGACAAAATTTAAGAAAGAAACTATGGGCACTGATTATAGGTTTTCATAAAAGAAAAACAACTTACACTGAAAAATCCACGACAACAGCACCTGTATGCACATGACATTTACTGCTCACTTACACAAGCATGATATGTCAACTGTCATATTACACCGTCCAATTACAAGCATGACACATGCACCATCCTGTTAGTGCTCAAATTGCACTGGTAATAACCAGTCATGTTCAATAATTTTGTCACAGTTTTGATGAAACTGGTTACCTTAAGATTTGTTAACTTTTAGTAAGTGAGAACTTGGTTTCTTATAATTAACTTCTTGTATTCAATGTGGTTACCATGATAGACTTCTTCAACACTTAGTAACTGTTAATACTAGTTTCAAATGTTTATTTTGTACTTTGTGCATGCCATCTAAATGGTTACCCAGAGATTCCTTAAACCTTTAACTCCCCAAGATCTGATTGTTAATTCTCCCTTCTAAATGCTACACATTTCCTTGTAAATGAGTTACAAGAATTTGGTGTAACAATTTGTACCTGATAAGTTTGAATATTCTCATTACCTGTTTGCTGGATAATTTTTAGATATTGCAGGGAGAGGTTACATGTTCATCACTTCTGGGAGTTAGAGGGTTAACATCAAGTGTAAACTTATTTGGTTATTTTGTACTTTTATCAGGGCTGGGTTGTTCAAAGCTTGGTCAAGATACATGTAACTAAAGGTTCTTGTGAAATCTGATTTCAGATCTGAAAGCTTGAAAAGAAGCTTTAGTATAATTGTTTTTGTCAAGAACTTGATTATTGGATGCTCTTAAGAAAAAAGAGAAAAAAAAACTAAAAAAATGCTGGAAAGGAATTTGGAAAAAAGAAACCCAGATTAAAAGTTAACCTTGGGTTAGCAGTAATGGGTTTTTAAACAACTAATTCCTGAAATGTTTGCTAATCTGTTGTGGTTGCCATGGAATTCCTAAATATTAAGAGAGTGTAAACACACAGTACTCAAGTTGTTAAACTTCTACAAACTCCATTTTTATATTTTAAGGCAATGACATTGATGGGTTTCTCCCTGGTGTGTGGTATTCTCTCAAGCATGATCATGTTTAATTATGGGCTGGAATTGGCTGTGGCAGGCCAAAGGTCATTTCTATATTATACTGGCAACCGTGATTTTGCTGACAACTCTTTCACCCTGGTTAAAGCACCTCTTTCTGTTGATGCTCGTTTCAAGGAGGAGCATGCCCTTGTGGGCTCCATCTTTGCATTCACTTTGCTGGAAATGATTGCAGCTTTATGGTCTGCCGCCCTCTGCTTTGTCAATGATCAAAAGCCAATGGACAAGAATGAAGATGTAAGTTTCACATTTGAGAGCTCATTGACAAAGATTTTGATACATAGTTAGTATATCAAGTAAAGTGATGATCAATAGGACAACAAACAACAAAATTTATTTACCTCTGAGTCAGCAATTAAGATACATATCGCACTATCCCTACCTGCAAAAAAGCAAAGCTATTGAAGGTGAGAGGGAAATAAACATTAAAATAAAATCTTCAAGAACAAGTTGAACTGAACTGAAAGGATCAATGCAAGTGAATGGAAATTTTTGGTATATGCAAAAAAGAACCTAGGAAAAAATCAGGCTTTGATGAGTTTTGAATCTTTGCCATCCAGCTTATACATGTATTTGGGTACTACCACAACTGAGCTGTGATTAGCCAATTTTGAGAGGGTTCTCAATCTTCTTCCCTGTGAAGGAATCTGATGGAATATATTTCATTAAAATTGTTATCAGATAGGTACAGAGTGGGCAAATATTCTAGAGATGCCTCTTGGGGAAGGAAGAACCTTCTTGAAATTTGCCTCTCTTCCATCATGTGGCTTTGTAGCTCAATCATTAAATAGTATCTGGGGGTATGGGCTTGGATCCCACCAAAACCAGAATTTTTTCAGGGTTTTTTTCTCTGCAAGTGCTTAAATTGCAACTCATCTGTGATACTCATTTCTTGACTTCATGGAATTGCAATTTAATGACATTCATTATGAAACTGCATAATTATTAATCTAATCAGTTATTACACAGGATGGTCAGGACCAATATTTAATTGCCAATACATCAAACATAAATGAAACATCTAAAATAATCACAGTCCTGCAATTAGGAGTTACAGAAGTGTCATGCATTATCTGAGAGTGGTTGTAAGAAATCAATCACTCATCAAATATGGGCAACTCATCAATTGACTAGTCATTTTTTCAAGGCTATTGTTACAATGTATTTTGATATGTTATATTATATTTGTAATAATACTGTAATAACAAAATAATATAATAATATGTCAATACACCCCTGTCCATTGAGACATTGAAATAATAACTATAATAATAATAGTACTGATATTATTATTATTATTATTATTATTATTATTATTATTACAGTAATGTATGTTGAGAAGCAATCCAAGTTTTTAACTTTAATACTAATTCTGATTATGACCTCCATTCACCTGTAGTATGAAGTTGATCCCTTGATGGAGGGCGTTGGACAAAGCCAACAAGCGAGTGGTGCATCATGCTAATTGTGTACATGCAGTTACTTGTATTAATTAATAGATTCCATGTTGCTGTGCACCTTTTCAGTTATAGAGTATAGATGATGTCAAAATGTGGTTAGAATAAAAATTTCGTACAAGTGGTGCACTGAAGTGTGTCACTGATATTCTTACCATGTTTCACTTCATCTGTGATCTGTGGCAACTTGAATATGGTAAAATACCAAAATGCTTTTAATGGTGATGTCATCGATGCATCTGTCTTCCAATATATTGTGAGAACCAATCAAAGTGAAGGTATGATTTGGCTTATATAACGATAAGTAGATAACAATTATAGTAATATTGTGACCCATGGGCTTCACAATAAGCACTGTCTCTCATGATAGGAACCTTAAGCAGTTAGGACGGCAAATTGCCAAGGGGACGTTAAACGTATATACTTAAAATTGAATTTATATTTTTAGTTAGAATTTCGCCATCGTAGTTTGCTAAACGTCCCTGATATGTTGAAATCAACTACTATATCACAAAAAAAATTGTTCTGAAGTGCTTCATGTTGTTTACAAAACAACCCTTGTTACCAGAGTTTATCATTGTAGAATTTCTCGAAATGTAACGCTAGCAGTAGAGTATGTCACGAAATGCAACGCATGTGTTCTGAAGTGCTTCATGTTGTTCAAAAACAACCCTTGTTACCAGAGTTTATCATTGTAGAATTTCTCGAAATGTAACGCTAGCAGTAGAGTGTCACGAAATGTAACGCATGTGTAATGTCACCGGATCTCGTGATTATCACGTGACGCGTGTTGAATTGTAACCTGTAAAGAAACCTGGTGGTTTTTCGGATGCGTAGTTTTCTTTGATGTTTTGATATATTCAGTGGAACGTTTTCGAAGTAAATTGTCTTAAAGAGTTAAAAATTTGTGTTTGCGCATTATTTTAAAATTATCATAATTAGACTTATGACAAGGCATCATCTAGATTCTGCTTGGTTTGCTGCTGGGCACAAACCATCGCTTGCTTCTTACACTACAGTGTTCAGTTTCCGGCCTTTCTGAGATCGAGGGTATTTTAATATCTTACCAGTGCAATGGAAAAAAAATTGCCCTCTCCAAGTTTTATATTTTCTTTTTTTAAGTAAAGCTGCTTTTTACAAAACTTGAATATTTTCTTGTGTGTAGCTATCAACATAAAAGAAAGTTCGTTAAAGAAATCAATATGACAGTCTCTAGATGCATCAATAATTTATTCCTTTTCTTTTCCTGATTCGAATAGACATCTGCATGATTCCTTGGGTGTGCAAAACAATTAGGGACCTTTAGCAAACCACGACGGCGGCGGCAACGAGAACGAGGCTAAACAAAGGATATAATGAGCAGAACATTAGCTCAGCACGTGCGTTTTTAAACTGTGTTCATTTCCTTGCCGTCCTTTGCAAAATGATAACGTGAACTCGTCAACATCTGCGTGGTCTGAGAAAGGAAACCCCGACGATAAATTAGTCAAGTTTCTATATTGAACTCAACGTTTCTCTCATACATTATTCTATGGTTAACTTGCGGGACCGTAAGAGATCGTAAACACATCCAGCCATTCGCGAAGTTCCAACTAAAAATATATATTCATTGGCGTTGCTGTCCTAACTGCTAAAGGTCCCTAATTCATTATACGGGGAAGGGGGGAGGTGGCTATGGAAGATTGCACAAGGCTCAATACTTAAAGTAGACGTATAACTTATGGCTGGAAACTGGATAAGATACTGTAACACTGTATGATAAGACGGTTCAAATAATGGCAATTCCTTAACGAAATGGAATTTTAAAACTGTCTATTGTCGGGAAAGGGGTGAGGGGTGGAGGGGGTGTCACCATACCCGTACGGGCCACCATCCAATCTTATGAGAAAGCTACCCTCTCTTATATGACGCCCAAGCATTTTACTTCGAGTTATTTGGGAAAACATTTTCTAAAAATAAGCCTCCCACCTACCCTAATACATAAACAAAAACATTAACAAAGTAAGTAGCTACTGCGTTGTTAATTCGAGCTAGTTGTGTTTTGTACAAAATATATTTGTTTGTAAACTTTTATATATATATTGTTTGTGCGCAACTTGCAGTTTTTTTAACTAGTTATTTGCTAACTGTATTTAATACTAACTGTAGCTGGCCAGAAATGAGATATTAAAAGAGTAAGTTACATTTTGATCTTCGAAAAGTTTTCCAAGAATCGAAGCGAGAAGCAAGGTTCAATTGTAAAATTTTCAGAATTTTCAACACAAAGCTACAGTAGGCAGTTTCCTTTCCGTGAATTTCATCAGTGTACTACGCAGGTCTCGCATATGCAAGAAATTCGTACGGTTTTCACCGCGAAGCAGGAAAGTTAGCATTTCTTTGAGTAAAAATTTGGTTTCGAAATATTTCTTTGTCAATTTGCCTTCCCTTTTATTCACGGTTTTTGGGTTAATCTGACTCAATTGTATTAGAACTCGTTTCTCATGCACAAATTTTGTCCGCTCTGTTATAAAAGAATTAGTGCACGCTTTTAGCTGTGCGAATGTCGAGTTATTGACGCACTTGAGAAGCTTAGAGAGCACTAAAGAGGCTAGAGTTGCTCTCGGCTTCGTCTCAGGCAATTGTTATGCTACTTTCGTGATCTCCAAACTTTCCGCGTGCATCAATATGCGCACGCTAAGCATTTCACTTTCACTACACCTGTCCTTTTGGCAGAATAAACGTTTATGATATGGTTTTTTTCAATCATCTTCCTTTGGTTTTTAATGATTTCAAATTGTGGGAAAACTTTGCCAGAACCACATGACGGAACACGGTAATGTGCTTCGATTTGGTTCATTGATTTGCACTACGTAAAATTTCCGTTCTTAATTCCAGAAGTCTATTATTTTGACTATCAAATCATTCATCTTACTGAATACCTCTAGAAGTTTCAAATGACGGTTTAACTTCTTTAGGCAGAGTGAACGGAAGGACACAAAACACGTAAATCATTTTTTCAGCTAATAAGACTACGGAGTTGTTTTGACTCCACGACAAAGCATAAATGAAAGGCTAACATTTGACTCTTACTGAGAATTAATAATTGAGTCACCCTCAGGAAAGTTCTTTATTGAAACAATAACAGGAAAATTAAATTGATATGAGGATTACACACCTTCTAGAGTAACTCCAGGTTTTTCTATTCTATTTTTTCATCGTTTTTGTTTTGTTTTTAACCTTGTTTTGAGGAAATTTCTTAGGGTTAGGCTAGCCCAAAATGTCAAAGAACAGGGGATACATTACCAAACAATTTTAAACACAAGTGACTTGAAGTTAATAAACCGTGACACAAAGAAACTTCTTGAGGAATTTTTTTTAAGTGTAGCCTTTCTCTGATTAAGAATCAACCACGATAAAAGCCAATCAGAAAAAAAGAAAATTATCACGAGAAGCAGTAAAACCAGGCACACTGCTTGAAGCGCGGGAAAATGCGCGTGACCAAGTCGTCTTCGGTTTAAGTTTAGTTTCTGATTGGTAACTGACGGTCGATGGTTTGTATCCCACGCTATTGACAGTTGTGGTCTATCTTTTATTTCTATTTTTTTCATTAAGCTTCTGCTTCCTTGAGTCTCATCTTACAAAACATTTTCTACACTTTCACCCCCTCCCTGTAGAAATGAATTAAGTGCCGCTTGCGATACGATAACTTTATTTAATATACACGGTGCTTCCATTTGTCCAATTAAGATACCAAACTATCTACCTAAATAAAACAACAAAAATTTAAAAAATTCCTCGAAAATAAAAACAGCTTTTCATGGAGGCCGTGTCTCAAAATTTATTTAAACTTACTTCTGATCAGATAAGACCTGTTAATAGCGTGGGATACAAAGCATCGACCGACAGTTACCAATCAGAAACCAAACTTAAACCGAACACGACAAAGTCATGCACGTTTTCCTGCGCTAAAAGCAGTGAAAATAAAAACTGCTTTTCATAGAGGCCGTGTCTGAAAATTTAGTTAAACTTGCTTCTGATAAGATCGCTCCTCTTGACACCTCGTCGAAAAAAGCTTTCTTTTGTTTTTTGCTTGGGCAAGGTATTGGAATAAATGTTTCAGAATAAATTGCGTCTTCACAAGCCAAAAAATAATAGTGACAAAACCGCCTTAAAGGACTGTGATCGGAAGTTTTGTTCTTTCACACTTTGTAAAAATCGTCGCACTCTGCAACACCTGTCGTATTTTATGATCACACTTGTCGCACTTTGCAATAACAGACCATATGGTATAATATAAGCCGAAAAATTTTGAAGAGTTGATTGGTTGACAGCGTCACCAAAATGGATGATATGATAAAGTTACTATGACAACACTGCACACAATGGGTTTTTTTTTACAATCAATTAGGTTTACAATTTTAAGTGTTTAACAAAATATGACAAGTGTCTTTACAAAGTATGACGTGCTATTGCAAAGTATGACAAGTGTTATAACAAAGTATATGACGTGTTATTACAAAGTACGACAAGTGTTATTATAAGGTATGACAAGTGCACGTCAGCTAACTTTTTTATAAAGTGTGTTGGTCCGTCATATGCGAGAGCTTTTTTAATCAAAAAGTGCGATAAGTGTTTTTACAAAGTGGGACAATTATAACAAAGCGCGAGAAACGAATTTTTAATTTTCATTAGAAGTTACGAGTTGATTTCAAATAGTTCACAGACATTTCTTGCCCTTCTACGGTAGATTTTAATAAGCACACTTGCATGTACATGTGACCGAATCATTCCCTCTTACGAAGGTATATATAAATATATGAAGTTAAAGGTACCGCTTTCATCGAGGAGCTTCATCTGTTTGAAGGAGAGATGATGATTATTTCCATTCGTGCTGATGAACAGATGAGATACTCGCACTTGCTTCCGGTTGGCAGGATGCTGATTTGAATAAGGCAAATATTTTTATAAACAAGGCTCATAAATTAGTTTTTAAAAGGAAAAAAACAAAACAGCGCTTTGCACCTGGTGAAAATAACCTCAATGCCATTGGTCCGTTCGATTAGAACAAAAAAACTAGTTACTCACGTAAGGAAAGAGCAATCGAGTTTTGAGCTGTCTATAACATTCAACCTCCTGCCAAAGAGAACAACGTTCGTTAAAAATTTGCGGGTGCCATACATGTGCTGCTACCAAGTCTCGAGCCATCATTGGATTACCGACATTTTCTTATGGTAACGCGATAAATTGGGCGATGAGTAAGCTCCAATCCGGCAAAATGTTCACAGACCGGCCTCTACGTCTTTCGCTGAGTAAGTAAGAGCTTTATCACATCTCTTGGTTACGCGAGAAGTGAACGATGAAACAGGGATCTGAGATATTTCAGATAGATGCAAACATCATGAATCCCTTTAGCCAAAACTGAGAAGCATAAAGCCAAGTGGCCCTCATGTAGCTCTCTGAAAATTTTCATGATTACTTTCACTACGAAAGCGATGAAAATTATTGAATTGGGGTTTCGAGCCTTTCGCAATGTTTATTCTAAATTCTGATAAGAGGAAAAATAAAATTGGAAAACGATTAGCCAGGAAACAATTGTTCGCATGCAGTTTAAATGATATATTAAGTAAAGCTTTTAATTAATTCATTACTGCTTTGTCTTGACGAGGAACACATGCAAAAGGAAGACACTATTACATTCCTTACAGAAACGAGCCTGTTAACAATTCGGAAGCTAAAACGACATTATCTTCCGTTTATCGAGACGAATGTTAATCAGCAGTAGTGGAGAGGTTTTACTTCAAGTTTCTTTGCTAAAATTTTGATCTGAAGCTGAGTGAATGTGCAACGGAAA